GCCGCCCTCACGACCGCGTCGACGACGTCGGTGCAAAGTAGCCCTAAGCCGCGCGAGGGAAATCACGAGAGCAAGGGTCTGTACAGTTACAGGCATCAAAAGCATCAAAAGGGGAGCGTCGTCGTCGGTACGACGGACAAGACCGATAAGGAGAAGGAGGAGAAATACAATCCCCTGAGTATCACGAATTTGCTGAAGAAGGAGCCCGTCACCGGCAGTTTTTTGCCGAGCGCCGAGAGCCTGCCGGAGTCGAGGAGAACCCCGGAGTCGGATCGAGCCAGCTCGAAAAGCTCGGCCTCGTCGAAGAGGAAAAGGATGTTGCCAGAGGGCCGAACACCATCCCCTCAGCCCAGCCAACCGTTGCCAAGGCCGTGGAGTCCTGGACTCGATCCCAAGAACACGCCCATCGACTACAGTCTTCCCATCACTACCTCGTACCTGAAGCATCAGCAGAGGCTACTGCAGGCGGAGAAAAAGGCAGCGGCGTTAAAGGAGACCGAGCTCGAACAGAAAGTCACCGTTCTGCCCACGGACGAGATCGACAACGAGAGGGACAGATACTCGCCGGCCACGGGATTGATCGATACCAATCTCAACCTATTGGCCACCATTCAGCACCTGCACTGCCAAGTGATGCTGGCCCTCACCGAGAGGCTCAGACCCTCCATGACCGTGCCCAGCCCCCTCGTTTTGCCCGCAGCTAATGTACTCTCCAACGGTATAATCATCGGCTCCGAGGTATCGGTGCAGACCGGCGAGAACCACGCGTGAACGACACACCCTTCCGTCGCGTTTTAGACATCGGATTTTTATTTCTCGAATCGAGACAAAGGGGCTAAATGCGTCCTCGGAAGCGATCTAACGCGACTCGAGCTGCCATTCAAACGCCCGGCTAACGCGATCATCTATTAAAACCGGATAAGATCAATTACTTGGTCGGCGTCGCGGCGTCAACGTCAGTTAAGCCGGCCAGAGTTGGCCGGATCGCGTTCCCGATATAGCCGGCGAAACGAGACGCGGAATTATTCGTGAGCCTGTCAAAATATGGGTCGACCGTCGCATGTCACCGATTTATAGACGAGCCGCGATCGACCGCAGACCGAAATCCGCTTTTCCTGACCCGGCCGTTCGATATTTCGAGATCCGGTCGTTGAACAGCCGAGAATGGACTCGGGGATAGCTCTTGAATGTTTAATCGCCGGGCAAGATTGCCCCGAGGATGTAGCCTGACTCGTTGTGTGCCTGGGTGACCCGCGATTGATAAGTGACTCGTTCTCCGACTACGTTCGAATTGCGGCGATATATCGAGACTTTGTCGACAATTTTCGTTACCGATGCGCACAATTACGTTTAGTTTGAACCGCGAGATTTCTGAGTTATGGATCGACTAAATGGGACCTCACTGTGTAACACGAACGTTAATTAAACCAAAGGTGGACGATCTGGGGATATTCGAGTGATGGGAACGGTTCCGTAGGTGTAACTTGTTCGACGCAAAAGTTTTTCGTATTTCACCGTGTAGACTAGCTTTGTGTATGATATTAAGCTAGAGGGTAGTTTTCTTCGTGTATCATAAATAGCTTGGACCCTTGAGAACGGGCTGTCATTCAGCGTGTGATCAGACATGTTTGTACTAGAAGTTTGATAATCGTTGTGAAAGTAGATACAGAAATGTTGAGGAATACACGGAAGTGTTAAATAGCACCGGATCTATTATTTTGTATATAATCGTTGTAACATAGCGCAGATAGTTGTTAAGGGTAAAGCGAGCGATTGTATTATTATATTGCTTTATTATTATTATTATTATTATTACTATTATTACCGTGTCAGTTATCATGATTATTATTATTATTATTATTTTATTATATTTAAATTGCACACGAACAAGATGGGAAAATATATGAAATTATAAAATCTGAATTATGTTTTCTTTTTGGTTTCCTTCCTTTTGTTTCGAATTAAGGTGGTTCAGTAATATATGTATTGTATCATGTTACTGGATATTTTGGAAAGTATCATTAAACTTAAGTGCAAATATAATATCGTGTTTGTTTTCTTGGTCCCGATAACCCTTCTTCCTCCATATTTTCACATTAATTGAAAATTTATGTTTTGTTCTGTTTAGAATAATTTTCTTTTACACTTAACAAGTGTTTAAATTTACAAATTTTCAAATTAGTGCGAAATATTAATATTAGCTGTTGTGTTTGTTACGACGCCATTTTGAAGAAAAAGTACTGTGTTCTTTCACTGTTTTCCTTCATATTTTTATATCTTTGAAATATTGCAAAAATCATATGTTGTAATCTGTTATATTTCAAATACGTTATGTTTGTCGAACATTCTTCCCTTTACATTTTACAAATTTTTAAATTACCGAAAGTATTAATGTTCTCTGTTATACTTGTTGAGGCGCCATCTTGAAGTTACTTATAAGACGCCATTTTGAAGTTACTTACAAGACGCCATTTTGAAGTTACATACAAGACGCCATTTTAAAGTTACTTACAAGGTGCCATTTTCAAAGTACTTGACAATAATAGAAATATAATAATTATTTAGCATAAAAGATGCAATATTTTTAATACATTTTTATCAATATTTACACACCATTAAAATACAGTAAAAATTATGTGTTACATTTTTTATATTTATAGTAAATTGCATTTATCAAAAAATGTCTCCTTTGCACCCAAAAAATATTTAACTTCAAAAATCATTAAAATATTATTTTTTTCTACTACATTTTTCAAGACAATTTTCATGAAGTTACTTTAACTCATCGTCATTTTGACATCACAGAAAACTTGTGTTATACAAACTTGTCATATTTCGAATAAACGACGTTCATTAAAAAATCTCCCCTTTCTACACATCCTCCACATGCTCCTCTACATATATTGCATATCCTTGACGATTCGATACAGTGATTCCGAGGGAAACGAGAAAGATCGACCTCACTCTATGAACGAACAATGAACGCAATTGACACTTCTATCGTTGAAACGAGAGGTGGTCCGGCGCCTCGGCGTACTTTAATATCACGAACAAAGAGGATGGAATCATTGAGTTCCCTTTAACAAAGGAGGAGAAGGTAGAGCCAGGTTACCTGCTCTCTCTTCCTCTCTTGGTGAGGACCGTTTCTTCGAAGCACACCGTAGGACCTATGGTGTAGGTAATGCAGCCTTTACCCATCTGGCTGTTGCCAACGTTGTAGCGGCCTTATTCCATCAACCTATGCTACCATCTCTCTCTCTAAGTCCTCCTTTCTCTCTGTCTCTCCCTCATCACTTTATTCTTCTCTCATAGCCACCTGTCTTCTTTGCTTCTCTTCGGCTGACTTTAAGGTGCGTGTGCAATTGGGGCGCTGTCTTCCAGGTTATTTTTGCAGGTTATTAAGTTATTTTTGGGTTAGGCCGGAGATTTTTAAGGTTTACTACATTTTTTAGGTTTTAAAATTGCAAATTTATAAATTTGCAAAAATTCACAAGATGACAAATTCACAAAGTCTCAAAATCATAAAAGTTTCTGAAACCTCTTTGACATATAAAAACCACAAATTTTGTACATCAATCAATGTTACAACAGTAAAGTAAAAAATGTTGAAAGTAAGATGTTGAATTTGATCAATTTTATATTACATTACACTTGTACTATTTTTCAGGTGACTTTTTTATTTGATTCACAAAATTGTATCTTATACGAAGTTACGTTGTATTTCTTTCCACTATTATTTGACTTCCACAATCACATTGTACATCAGCAGGTTTCAAATTTCTTTCAATTCTAATTAGTTACTCAAATCTCTATAAACAGTATTTATGTAAGGAGACAGTAAATAAATAAAGTAAAAGAAATTGTTTGAACAGTTGTGGAAGACCATTGTAGACGCACCTTTAGGAAAACTCCCCCTCCACGATTCCAATAAGGCTGCCTCGTACCACGTTTTCCACCCTCTCTTTCTGTTCCCCGTTCTCCTAGCTTTCCCATCCTCCTTCTCTTTCTGCCAGTTCTGCTCGTCTTCTCACCCTCGTTCGTTGGCTCCATCTACCCTCTAGCACACCACCCTCCCTCCCCTTTTCCCTTGGTGCCCCTCGTCGTCACGCTAGCCGAGGCCTCGTGCTTTTGCCACGGCATTGTTGCTATCGATTCGGCCCTGGAAACGTGTTTTTCTTCGGATATTTCGTGGCTTTCCCCGGCTACGACTGGCTCTGCTCGTCTGGAATAACGAAGATTCTAAGAAACCGGAGTATCTCCCCGTTTTCTTTCCATCTTTGACCACTGCGACGTTCTTTCTCCCCGTTCTATTTGTAGCTCGATAACACCCACGGATCTTCGTGTTCTTCATGCTACGGTGTTACGAAAAGAACGGGTACCAACTATTTTCGTTGGTTCCTAATTTCATCCAAGTGTATTTCCTCTTAATTTTATCTTGAATCGATGTGTTTCATTTTTAGGACTTTATTTGAACGATCAATTTTACCTTTTTAATTTTATTTAAATATTTTCTATTTAAGGTGATGTGTTTTATTTTATTTCAACTTGAATAAGGTGTTCTATTTTTTTTATTTGATTCAAGTATTTTATTTTTTTGATTTTATCTGACGGATGTATTTTATTTTTTTTATTTCATTTGAGGGATGTATTTCATTTTTTTTTATTTTATCTGAGGAATGTATTTTATTTTTTTGATTTTATCCGAGGGATGCATTTTATTTTTTTAAATTAAATTTGTATAATGTATTTTATTTTTTTTAATTAAATTTGTTTAATATATTTTATTTTTTTTAATTAAATTTGTATAATGTATTTTATTTTTTTTAATTAAATTTGTATAATGTATTTTATTTTATTAAATTAAATTTATATAATATATTTTATTTTTTTTAATTAAATTTGTATAATGTATTTTATTTTTTTTAATTAAATTTGTTTAATATATTTTATTTTTTTTAATTAAATTTATATAATGTATTTTATTTTATTAAATTAAATTTATATAATGTATTTTATTTTATTAAATTAAATTTATATAATGTATTTTATTTTTTAAAATTAAATTTGTATAATGTATTTTATTTTTTCAATTTGATCTAAATGAAATGTTTGTAATAATCAGATCGTCACTATTCATATTCTAATCTGTTGTTGTGTCTTCTGAATATTTTTCAGGGTCCGTAAAATAAAAAACCTTGAATTTGTAAATTTAGGAACCTTGAATCCATAGGCGTTGAATATCTATTTGCAACTGTTTCGAACCCTATTAGAAATTCCCAACTTTCGTTTAGGGCTTCGAGGTGAACAGGCTTATGAGTCTCTGTCAGACTATAAACACTTTCCTAAAAGTTTTGGCACCCTGTCAGAAAAGTATTGAACTACCCTTGCTTTCCACCTGCACGAACTCTTGATGACCAATTAGGGAACTAATATTCATCGTACAGCAAAACTAGCTTCCGATATTTTGACTTATTTTGTTGCATACAATGAATAAAACCTATTCTAAATACATAAAACTTATGACTGATAAATATGAGATAAAACTTGTTAGAATGGAAGAGAGAGTAATAAATTATACTTGGCGAGTCGTGAAGGATATGAACGAATCAATTTACCACAAACGTTGCTGCAAAGTTTTCTTTTATCGTGCGGTGAGAATTATTTATTTAGAGGATCGAATACCATGGAAGAAATTAAGAAGCGCCGAAACTCGGCCTGGAGATTTCAACGAACGGCTACACTTTCCCCACGGGACGCATATGTACGCTGTTCCGTCGCTAACGGAGTATTTACTCGTCCGGCCATTTATTCCCCTCTTGCATAATCTCGCGTGTAAAATTAAACCGCTAGCGCTCTCATTTATTCAAAATCGAAATTAGGAGTCGAGGGAGACATCAGTCATATCATTTTTATCGTCTTTATCGTTTCGTTTTGGGAGAACTTAATTGTTTTCTGGGTCATTTTGTAAGTGAAAAATATCTTATTTGGTAATGTTAAAGTGTTTAGAAGGACTACAAGATGTTGACTAGTATCGAAATTGTCATGGTTATCATTAAAGTCATCATAGTCATGTTCAAAGTGATTGCAGTTATAATAGATATAGTTATGAAGCTTATAATCTTTATTATATGGTGCTGAAGGCAGTGAAGATAGTTATAGTCACTTTATAAATCAATATAGTCATAGTAAAAATTAATATAGTCACAATTTAGGAGAACATATTTATCGTAGATAACGTCATGGACCTTCTAACTATTATCAAGTTTGTTATAGTCATAAGAAGGTACTTATAGTCACAGTCAAGTGCAGCATAGTTATAGTAAAAGTTATTACAGTTGTAATCAAAGTGAATATATTTATCATAGATATTGTCATGGATCCTCTAACAAATAATAAGTTTGTTATAGTCTAAGTAAAGATAATTATAGTCACTGTCCAAGTCATCACAGTCAAAGTGCAAATTAATATAATCGCAATCTAAGTGATCATATTTATCATAGATATCGTCGTGGACCCTCTAACCATTATCAAGTTTGTTATAGTCTTAGTAAAGGTAATTATAGTCACTCTCAAAATCATGACAGTTTTAGTAAAAAGTAATATAGTCGAAATTTAGATGAACATATTTATCATAGATATTGTCATGGACCCTCTAACCAGTATCAAGTTTGTTGTAGTCATAATAAAAGTATATTTACAGTGAAGTACAATATAATCATAGTGAAAGTTATTACAGTTGTAATCAAGGTGAGCATAGTAATCGCAGACATTCTGGACCTCATAATCATTATCAAGTTTGTTGTCATTGTAATACAAGTATTCATAGTCACACTCAAA